ACAAGTATTCTTGATATCCCCATATCTTCCAATTTGAATTAGCTACCGAGAATCATTCGGCGAAATTATCCATTTCTGAGTGAATACCCAGTGTTAAATGTCAAACGTACGTCCGAGCGAATCGCCAGGAGGGAATATAATTCATGGTAACGCAAGTAATCATAGCGTTCTTGAGACTAGCGCGCTCAACGAGTCGAGATAATGTCGTATATTTGAAAATAAGGTGGAACAAACTGCACACGTGGATAAATAACACGGTAGGGTATACGCGAGAACGCGCATTGCGTGTTAACGTGCGCGTGAAATGAATTGCATCTCAACCTCACTCACTCTGAGAAAAAATGTTTTATCTCTGCGAAATTGGATACCTTCCGACTCAATCAATGTACGGCAAAGCGACACGCAGTCAGTTTTGCATCGTAACAAATAAACCAACGAGCTCTTCATCAAATTGGAAAAAGTTAAGGAAATTGAGAAAAGTCGAGTAATCCCAAAGAAGTCATCAAGATACAGAGTGGACAACGTGTTGAAACCCGCGACTGCAAAAATGCCTGTCTTTTACATTCGCGGAAACGACCTCTCGCCGGTCCCAGATAAGAGCCGCGGGCCTTACGTGATCGCGGGTGATCGCAGATGATGGCGCGTTAAGCTAACTGCGTTAGCGCTGCATCCGATTACTAGATGTGTGTCTTCGGACTTGACAGCGGGAGCTGTAACCACTCGTTAGTCAAGTCGCGATTCTACACGCGTTGCTCATGCATGCACGCGCGCACACACACACACACGCACGCATACACGGGCGCAAAGCGAGCGATTTGCGCGCGAAACACCGCGCTCGAAAACGCTTACTCCATCGTGGGAAAGACGGTGTTCAAATAGCGGCGAGAGGCGAACGATTATGTGCGCTGTTTACAGCAAGCCGTAATTGCCACAATCGATAATGGTCATTCAAAATACGCGCTCGCTCTCACGCACACACCCACCGCTTCGAAAATTCCTCTTGATTAATCATATCTGATTCGCGAGCGCGGCCGACGTGCTGCAAACGAGGAGAGCGCTATGAATTTCGCTTCTAATTGAATTAATCGTCCTCACGTTGCTGTCCGGAATACCTTCATCGAGCGCGGATCGACGTGACCCGCCGGCGTAAAAAGCCGCGACCCTCCGCGGCTCTAATGAAAACGTTCATAATTTTCCCGATTAACTTGATGACCGGCAAATCGATAATCACACGGTGCTCTCTCGGCCGAGCAATTCATGCGTGTCAAGATAAGTTCGCTCGCGTGTCGCATCTAATGAGAATGCACGTGCTCCTCTCCGCGAGATTCGCGCTCGTCAATCTCCGGCGGGGAAAACGCTCGTGACAGCGACGCGAGACGTTTCCGATGGAGACGGGATTTCCGCGAAAAGCGGCAGCAATTGGCCAATTCAACCCCTGGCATTCACTCTCTCTCTCTCTTTCTTTCTCTAAAGTATAATCAATGTGTTTTCCACGGAAATGCACGGAAATAAGTAGCGGTTCAGTTACATCAGCAAAATCTCAACGAATAAATCAACTGCAAGTAGCGACTGTTCCTATTATTGAAGCAGTTTGCGAACACAGTGTCATTGAACGTAAATCACGTGGAAGGCAGCAATTCCATCGCCAGAAACGCACAGAGTTGGATTTCGTACAGCACAAAACGAATTTATAGTGTACAGAGATTTTGCAATGAAATTTTTCTCTCACCGGTGGAAATCGATAAGATACAAGCTGGAGCAGCGGAGTGGGAGTGTTTCCGCCCAAAATCAGTGAATATCCACTGAATCGGTGAACCGTTTCTGATACTGATGCAATCAGAAACACTTCTCACTGATACATTTTAGAAGAACTCCATCGCGCGAATCCGGCTACCGAATTCCGTCTCGTATTTCCACGGAACGGGGAGAGATACACGATCGTCGTGACAATCGATGGTGCGCGCGATAACTCGCGGCTCGCGCGACATGATAATTAATAGCAAGCGGATTTTTCCGCGGGAAACAATGCAGGAACGAAAGCGGCGCATGTCACGCGGCTGGATTATCTCGCCGCCGGGGAGTTTCTTATGAAGCGCGCGCGCGCGCGCTTATCTACGCGATAGCCCGGCGCGGCCCGATGTGTATCACGCCGATGAGGGCGATCGATGTAATCGCGATACGTAACATAACATAATAATAATGACTAGCTGATAAAGATCTCATAGCACCGGTCACGCCTACAACGTATGAGACACGATATCGCGCGGCGATCTATGTATAGCGATCGTGACTGCGCAATGGAGCGCAATGATCCCCGCCAAGTGACTTTCCTATCTCAGATAACATCTCGGGCTTACGTGAAAACTAAATGGCACGGGACGTTGAGAGATTACAGTTCCTGCTTCGCTCCGCGCCGCTCGGATCTAGTACGGATCGACGTGCTTTCTAAACCTTTCGGCTGTTCGCGATCCCAAGTTCGGGGAGCAGCGCGTGCTTCTCGACGCGACTGGGATTGCAATATTTAAGGGTGCCAATGTCCGGACACAGGTACTCAAACCTGGCTATTCTTATATCTATATCTATTGCTTTGCTCTTTAAACGTGAATATTTAAACTCTATCAAGATGAAATACATATACATATGTATACATACACTAAGAGAAATGTCTGTAAAATAGAAAATATTAATTCGGTGGGTATTACTAATATTTATTTAAATCTAAATTCTCTTGTATATATGTGTGTGTGTGTGTGTATGTCTAAACAGAATAAAAAATTGCTTTCACGAATAGAATTAACATTTTAACCCTTTCACTACCAACGGGATATAAGAGTTTCCCCCACTATTCATAATAACTTTGTTCAATTAAATAAACAGTTTTTTTTAGCATTCAGAACACATCAGCTATCAATTATTATCGCGTTGGAATACATATACCTTTCCAAAAATCCTAATGGATCCATCAATGTCTCGAGCCTATCCCTTTGGGGTCAAATTTAAGATTTTTTTTCTAAAACTACATATTATATTAATGCACTCAATGAAACAAAGAGTTAAAAATATTGTACTTCTAAAAAATAAAATTAATAGCGCGAAAAGAGAGATTAAAGAAATATATATTTTCTTGCTTGAAAGATATTTTATATTAGTATAAATAAATATGTAACCACAAAATAAATATTTTCTATTTTTTAGATATTTTTTTCTCAGTGTATATTCTTTCATAACATATATATATATACATATATATACATAACATATATATATTTTATATGTTGAAGGCTTTAAATATCTATTTAAACATAAAAATCCAATTCTGGTTATTTTTATTACTTGGTCTTTAAATACGAATATCTCAGCTCTCAATATGTGAAATATATATGTATATATATTTTATGTTAAATCTAAAAACCAAAACGACAAAAATTTCAAAGTTGGATGTGCATTTGGGCTTGATGCTTTTACCTCGCAGGACAACGTCTGCAAGTCGCTCATGATATTGCTCATAATTTAAACACGACATAATTTAAAATCGTCATTTTGCTCTTCTGTCTAAATGATAATCCGGCTAATTGGAGAAATAAGAGATGGTCACAGCGGCAACGTGTGCGTATCGAAGATCGCATGAGAGAGATTCGTGTTATCCTGACACGCGCGTGTAACCGATCTCGCGAATAGAATAGACGACGTGTTCGGAGAGAGAGAGAGAGAAACAGAGAAAGAGAGGAACCGAGATCGAAGGCAAATATAAGCGAAGAGGATAAGAAAGAGGCGGGCTCGTCGGCAGAACCGGTACCTTCGCGTTGAGGGCGTAGGACGACGCAATGAAGTCATTAATCGTCTCCTCGAGCTACGCATTACTCGCGAATGTCTTAATTTTTGACGCTTATTATCGCAAACAGTTCGCAGTTCTCTCGTGAGAGAGAATCAACGCGTAGGAGGGAGAGAGGGAGGAAGGAAGAGAGAGCAGGGGGATCATTACCCGCGTCGAAAGAAAGTGCATTCAACGTCACGGCGAATTACAAAAAATACGGCGTTTACACGCGACTTTTTTACGGTAGTTCTTGTGAATATCTTTTTATTCCGAGTAAATCGCCCGAAATCGACGTCTCGAAAGTCGACTAATTCGCGACGTTAAAGCTGTCATAAAGTACGTTTATTACGCTGTAACGAGGCTGCTTCGCGTTCTCTTAATGGTTCATATCAATCGATCCGTCTGAAAAACACCGATCGTGCTCGAAACAACTCTTAATAAACAATAACTCTCTGGCGAGTACGAAAGTACATTAAGCCGCGCGTATCGTGCGTCCAAAATCGGCGGATAAGTAACCACCGGTGCTAAAGTATCGCGGGGAAGAAGACGAACGAAAAGAAACCGGAGATGAGGGAAAAGAGAGAGAGAGAGAGAGAAGGAGAGAAGGAGAAAGACAGACAAGGCCGCGCCTTAATGGAAACGAGTTAACGACCCGTGGAAACGTAAACGCAGTCACGTACACTCGAGTAACGATCGACGAGTAACCAATCAGTGATCATTATTTATGGTTATGGGTATGGCTACCGATTCAATGGTTACTTTTCGTACATGCAATTCCATAGATTAAAACTCGGAAACACCCTAACGAGGACCTCATAAGAGATGTTAGCTAACCGCGATCAGGAGGACCGCACGCAACACGTCAAACCTACACTGTTAGAAAAAAAAAATTAATCGCAAAGAAATTAATTACTATGAGCACGCCACCTTAACGAGGCGAAATAAAATCAGCATGGCAGCTACGTTGCCCGGAATCTCAAAGTTCCTTTAGTTTTAACGAAATGCGACATATTCGCCTCGACAATGTGCACGAATTGTCGTGTAGAGTGTGTGTGAATATAATAATAGAAAAAATAATTTAACGTTGCGCAGAGACTTGAATGAACTCATGTACGATGTATCTAATGATTGAGCTGTTTCGGCAGGACACGAGTTTTAATCGGTGTTTTTTCTTTTTTGTTCTCAGGACGAAGTAAGTAACGACCCATGGCGATTACCGAGTCGTACTCGAGCTAGGCGAGACACTAATGACGAAATGGCATCGGGGAACGTGAGCGCTTTTCCGAACGGAGTCACATTATGTTACGCTTATTGTGTAAGCTTGTCACGTGCTCGATCGCTGGCACACGTATTGAATCAATATATATATATATATATATATATATATATATATATATATATATATATATATATCTCAATGACGCGTACGCACGTAAGGTGACCAGACGTCTCGCTTTTCCTGGGACAGCTCCGGTTTTTCGGCCCGGATTTTTCCAAATGCTATCCGGAACACCGATATGTCCTTTGTCAGAGAATGTTTTAAATACTTCTGACAAAGAGAATTTCAAAGAAATTCGCAGCTCTGACGGATATAGTGGCTTTATTATGTCTTCTTAATTTCAAGAACAACAACAATTTTAATCTAATAATTTCTATTTTTACTGTTATCTAACAGATCTTCATTATATATTACATATTTTTTATATGGCTATAAATAAAATATTGTATATATATGTATTTTCAGTGATCACACCTCTCCATCCACATATTTATAAAGTGTCCCGGATTTGAGGCAGGGAAATCTGGTCACCAAAGTGTATGGTTTTACACGTTTATGATCCCGAAAATGCTTCGCGAATGCAATGGCTACAAAGAAAAATCAAAGGAATTGAATGAATCAATTTCTGATGAAGTATGAACGATTCAGAAATCTCAGCTAATGTCATTGTAATTCAGTTTGAATTATCAAGATTTCCGTTCAATTCAAGCAGAATTCTGGTAATTTCAATTGACATGCCTGAGTCATTGATATCTCACTAGAAATCAGTTCATTCAACATTTCTTCTCGTGCACGAAATACAATTTTCTCGAAAGAATCGCCACTTGTTCGTCTCGGTACAACTCTCCAGGATCCGTTGTTTTCTATTTCATTTGCGTTCTTCCCCCGCGCATCCGCGATAGTCTTCAACGCGAAAGAGAATCATGGATACTCCCGTGGAGACGTGCCGTCATAATCCTCCTTTACCGTCGCGCTTTATCCCTACATTCTTTTCATATAAAAATGCCATCGCGACGTCGTGACGTGCGTTGCAGCCGCGAACAGCTCGACGCGCAAAAACCGCGCGACATAAATAATTCGCGAATGTGGGTTATACGGTGTTCGTTATTCCGCTCGCGATATCTGCTCAACTGCCTACCTATTTATCTACCTACCTACCTAGCTGCCTAGGAAAACACGCGAAGCGCGCCTATGCGGAATTCGCGTCCTGGATAACGAGAGAGCCGACGACGGAGTCAACGTCGGGCCTTAAAACTGTCAATCGGCAGCCGCGGGCACGGTGAAGGAAGGCAGGTAGGCAGGCAGGCAGGCAGGCAGGCAGGCAGGCAGGCAGGCAGGCAGGCAGGCAGGCAGGCAGGCTCTCGGGGACGAGAAAGAGACACCGAGTAGAGCACACTCGTAATTCTCGACAGTCGGGAATGACTCGGGAGAATCGAGAGGAGACCTGCCTGCCTGATTCCTCGCTCCGTTCAGCTCGGCACGGCTCGGCTCCGTGTCGACACGCTTAGCCTCGTTTGTCCCGAGTAATGGTCGCAGTCATAACTCAAGCGGCTCCGCCGCGGGCTCGCTCTCGTTCCTGCATCCCGATGCGCGCAGCTGAGCGCTCGCGCGCGCACAAGGACGGGGGACGATCAGATTCACGGAAAGGACAGATCGCACGCGGAGTCCTGTACAATCTCTTGACTATTTGCACGGCCATCCGCGATCGTCGTTTGATCGTTCCGCGCGATTCCGCCGAGCCGTTCGATTGATCCAATCCCCGGCCCCTTTCTCCTGTGGATTCCCTGGATCGTATTTTTTTTCTCGACACTTTTCTCATCACGCTCTTCGATTATACCGTTCGCGCTCACGTCACTCGTCCGACACGCCGTGTCAATCGTTATCAGTCGAGGAGCATACTTTCTCTCTTGTTGTACATGTAAGGGAAACCGGGACTAGATGCTCTAAATTTTAGAATTTTTAAGTTATAACTTCTCGAGCAAATAATTGTTGTAACTGAATAAATTATACGTCTGCTTATCACAAGTCTTTCTTGATAACAGACATTAAAAATTGGAACTCTCTACTCTTGAAAATCTTTTACTCGAGCCGTTCGAGTATATGATATTTAAATATCTGGATTTGCAAAACTCGTTGTACAAATAACTACTATTTAGTCATTACTACTATGTCCTTTCGTCATCATTCATCATATCTCATTCCTTCACCATTCTTCGTACCCATCGCGAGTTTCTGCAGTTTTATTTTTATTTCTTATTTTTCCTCTATGTAATTACTTATCTTACTTATCTGCTATTTTTGTCTACGGCAACTGTCTCGCATTACTATATGGTACTCATGTGTACGTTGAAAGGATTTTATCCTAGAGCAAAACAAACCAGTATTCTATTCTATCCTATTCATTCGCCGCGTTCAGTAAGCGTGCCGAGGTGAAAGATGCTTGAGAGCGTGTTTCTCGAAGGTGCGCCCCGTCGACACAAAATAACGAAATTTCGAGACAATCTCTCTCGTCGAGATTGTCAATTTCAGGACTCGAATGGCTCCGATCGACTCACCCATTACGCTTTTATTTGCATGGTCAGGCCTGTCATCGAGTTTGCGCGACTAATCGCTGGAAATTGACCGAAGCACGTCTCCGCCGACAACAACGAAGCAATGGCCTTAACGACTACTCCTCTCTTCTTCTTCTTCCTGCGTATCATTCTATTAACTCGCTGTCTCCTAACGAGGACGATAATTATCGGCGATGAATATCGCGGCGCTGATTTAGTGTATGGATGGGCCGATAATGTATGTAACGAGACGTATAGAAACAAGACGGTATCTTTCGCGTTTCATATCGAACGAAAGAAATAATGAATCTCCGTGATACATTGAGAGGAGAAAACGTTTAGTATTTGTAACTTTATAATCACACAAAGAAAGCATTACTATTGTGCGATCAAGAAAACTATATTTCTATTAAATTCTATTATATGTTAAATCCTATTACATAATATGTTAGTGATAACAACACGGGTAGAGATTTCAAACGGGGATTAGAAAAAGCAGTTTTTCTCTACTTCTATCAAGGCCAATTTTGTCCATATCTGAATCCTATAAAGGCATATCTATTTTGGAGCATCAGTATTAATTATGGCCTGTTCATGAAATTCTATTCAGGATTTGCTTATCTTAGCCATATCTAGGCTATATGAACGCATACTTATTTTGGGGAATCCTTGGCTAGGACCATTACGAATAATTTCTACCCGGAGTTATGTATATGCACTACCATTTTATGAAAAAGAAAATATGGTTAGGGCAAAAAATGACAATAATTTTAGTTAGATCAACCACTTCCAACTCTCTCTGTACATGGCGGACGCGTTTAACCGCTCGTGAAGATATTTTCGCCGTGATAAGTCGATCACCGATGATTAAAAGCGAGGAAATGGACGCGAGTACAAAAACAGCGAGAAAAAGTCGCCACTCTCGCAACAAATCGCCATTAAATGCGCTTTATTAAAACGTAATAATCGGCTATTACGCGTTCCTCGCGCGACGAAAGCTTGTCATTAGATAGTCAGTCGCTTGTCACGTTCCTATAATTATTGGGTGACATCAGAGACGACAAGATCCGCCTTTGGTCATGAATACAAATCAAACATCGCGCAGACGACGCTCTCGCGGATTTCTTGCCGACGAGGACGACTTAATGCTATCACTAAACCGCTCGCCGTTCGCGTGGCGTATTTCACGCTCGCAATATTTTCACACAAGCTCCCGATACTATCCCGCGGTGTCCTCGTTGCCGTTTCCCTCCCGACGGTTCGTTTCGTATCTGTCGATGCCGACCGCGCGCACGCAATTAAAAGAAACGTGACGAGCAAGTCGAGTTCGGGCGCCCCATAGCGGGGAAAAGAGACAGCGGATTCACGTTATAACACAGAAAGGCTGCGAATTAAATTCGTGCCGTCGTACACATCTTACTTCGCCACTTAATTGCACATATGATCGCGTTTATCCAGCCAATCCATCGAGTCGATTTTACGATTAACCTTTTGAGCCATTGAGAGCATTCCACCCATCTTTTCTCTTCATTTCTAATGTTTTTAATTAATTTATCGGAAACACACTCTTATGAAAACACGAGAAGCTAAGAGTCAGTAAAAAATTTGAATTTTTAATTGTTAAATTATTATAAGCAAATAAAAGTAAAAAAAGGTACTTTTTCAGACAAATTATTTTTTAGACTAACTATTAGGAATCGACACATTAAAATATCAACAATCTATTCAGAATCACTATTTATATTTATATATAGTATTTTTACACATTTTTCAAAATCTTCTGTAATTCTATTTTTTACGATAAACTGAAATATTGGTAATAATTTCTTGTCAAAAACGCAAATATCTCTTTTTTACATCAAGGAAATATTATTTTTGAATAACGCCAAAAACGAGATTTTTGAAAATATCAGTAATTATAGTCGAATCATGACTATAATTACTCGCCACTTAAAATTTTAACTTTTTGACCTCAAACACATAATCAGCGAAATTCCTTATATGTCAAATTTGAAAAAACTTCAAGCAATAAAATTTATGACTCAAAGGATTAACCTGACCGGAGGCTGCCATCGCCATCTATAGTCGATGACCGCGACGACTGTCGACCGTTATCGCGACTGTTAACGCGATTAGCACGAACAGTTTCTTTCGCGAACGCTATAATTATCGCCTTCGCAAACAACAAATAAGACGTGGGAATCCGCGATGTAGGAGGAAGAGATGATTTAAAATTTGAAAGCTAGAAAATTTGCAACTGATAAAATTGGAGATTAGAAAAAAACAATTAACAACTCGCAACAGTAAGCCGGGAAGAGCACCTTGCGACTGAAGTTCTTCTTTTTAAAGTAATATATCGAC